ATCCTGTGCCTTTCCTTTGTTGCCAAGGATTGCCTTTGCTATTCTAGGTCTCTTCTGGTTCCAAATGAATTTTATGATTGTTTTTTCTCATTCTGTGAGATATGATGTTGGAATTTTGATTAGGATTGCATTAAATCTGTAAAATAATTTTAGAAGTATGGCCATTTTCACTATATTGGTTCTTCCTATCCAAGAACAAGGGATATTGTTCCATTTTCTGATGTCCTCTTTGATCTTTTCCAGAGTACTGTAGTTTTCAATGTAGAGGTCTTATTACTTCCTTTGTTAGATTAATTCCTAGATATTTCATTTTTTGGATGCTATTGTGAAAGTGTTGTTTCCCTAATTTCTGTCTCAGTGAGTTTGTTATTCGTGTACAGGAAGGCTATTGATTTTTGAGTGCTGACTTTGTGTCCAGCTACACTACTGAATTCGGTTATTAAATCTAGAAGTCTTTTGGTGGAGTTTTTGGGGTCTTCTATGTAGAGTATCATGCCATCAGCAAATAAAGATAATTTAATTTCTTCATTTCCTATACATATTTCTTTTATTTCTTTCTCTTGTTTAATTGCTCTGGCTAATGTTTCCGAACAATATTGAACAAGAGTGGTGACAGTGGAATCCTTGTCCTGTTTCTGATTTTAGAGAGAAAGCTTTCAGTTTGTTCCTTGGCTGCAGCATTATTTCACTAGGAGTGCTGAAGCTTCACAAATCAGGACTTAGATCTGCATGGCAGCCGTTGGCGCAGAAGCTATATTTGCCGTGGCACCATTTGACATGCTCCTGTGAGTCACATAGACTTTGATCCAGCTCTGAGTACATTATAGCCAAATATGAGGGAAAAATGCCTGCTGCATACTACAGCCTGCTCTGACTTTGGTTGGGGTGGTCTCCTACAACTGAGTTCTGCACAGAAGGCGGGCAGTCATGAGAACCAAGCCATCTCCTAGCCTCAGTCTCAGTGCTTTCCAGGCCCAGCCCTCTCATTGACTCACAGATGATGGAATTCACTCCTCACCACAGAGGGTAGTCTCTTATCACTATGCCCTCCAGGTATAGCTCCCCATTGCTTAAATTTCTCAGCAGGCCTGCGACTGATCTTCCTCTTCTCTACAAAAGTCTCCTGTGACCATTTCCCACCCAGTCACTGTGGCAGGTTGTCTTCAGGGGTCCCACATTGTGATTGTTCCATGATTTCTGGTCCCCAGAGTAGTTGAGTCCCAAACAAGATGGTTCCTAATTCCAGCACTCCCAGATATAAGTGCTGCAGTGATTTCATCTCCAAATTGAGCCCAGTTCCAGCACTCTAGATATAGGAGTGCTGCAGCAGATTTCATCTCCAAATTGAGTGCCATGCAGGAAGAGTCACTTTCATATCAAATTCCTGCACTGGATTTAAAGCTTGCAAGAACCCTGGGTTTCTCATATGGCTAGGACTGCCAGACTGCTATTTATCATTGGGGTTGCCAGCTGTAGTAGTCAGATTTCTATTGCTGGGACAAATTTTCTGATGTATACAATTTAAAGGAGAAAAAGTTTATTTTGGCTCACAGTTTCAGAAGTTTCAGTTCATGATTGGCTGGATCCAAGGCAGAATCAGCATGGCTGAGGGAGGCTGCTCAACTCATCGCAGCTAGGAAGCTGAGAGAGAAGACACACATACACAGAGGGAGAGGGGGAGGAGGGGGGGGGAGAGAGAGAGAGAGAGAGAGAGAGAGAGAGAGAGAGAGAGAGAAATACAACTTCCAAAGGCCCACCTCAAGTGACCCACTTCCTCTAATTAGGTTCCACCTCCTAATAGCACATTCAATTATGAACTCAGCAATGGATTAATTCACTGATGAGCATAGCATCTCCACAATCCAATCACTTTTTGAGAGCCCCACCTTGGAATGCATGAGCTTTTGGGGGGACATTTTAGATCTAAAGCAACACTAGCCCTCTTTGGGCTTACTTTGTGCTTGTAGCATCAGATTCCTCTCTTTCTAGGGAACTGGGGCTGTAGTTGTGGACTGCTCTGTGGTTTTCTCTGAGTCACCTTTCTGCTTCTTCCTGTTTTTTAGCTTTCCTATCACCTCTTTCTTGATTCCTGGAGTTCTTCCTCTCTGGCCTCTCAGAATATAGTTTTTCCTTTGTTGCCCTGAATCTTTTCACTTGCAGAGTCATGTGAGGGATGCTTCTACTCCACCATCTTACCTAGAAGCCAGACAAATTGCCTAGGCTAATTTATTAATTACATAGCCCCTAGAATTTCTTTCCTGTCCAAAAGCTCTGAAAATAATTGTAAGATAAAATATAGGCAACAGGTTTCTGGGACTCTGGTAACTATTCAAATTTCCAAAATTTTAAGGCTTTTCTTGGTGACCAGAAAGAGTTGAAAGCTATTGTTTTACAGAAAAAGTGTTAAAAATGATCTGATATAAATTTTAAATGAAGCTAGTATGCTAGGCTGGGCTGCTGTAAAATTATTTTCATCGTCACGTTCATTGTGACAACTATATCTTTGGCTCCAAATACACTATCCTTGTAAAAATTTCATTTCAGCTGTCAGGGTAATCAAAATGATTTCAAATGGTTTCCTGGAATACTGAATTGAAATAAAATAATAAAACACCCTATCAAATGCTACAGTCTGCAGCAGGAAGATACCAGATATTGGGCCAGTTTTACATTTTAAAAAAGTCAATTTTATTAAATTCTTTAATATAACTTTGGAGTAGCTATCCTGAAATACAATTTCAGAATAAATCAAGTGGATTTTCTAACCCAAATCAACTTTGTGACTGCTGCATAATTAAACACACAAAATGCAGAGCAATGTTTCATTTATTTAAATTGTCTTTTGATGGTGCAGTTTGTTGTGTGTAGTAGTATTTTATAATGTCATATTGCATAAACAGAGAAATAAAATAATAGCTACAAATTTTATCTTTTAAAATTTGATACTACAGGTCTAGATTTCTAAAACATCACAGGCTACAGACATCTGTGAGCTGCATAATCTATTCTATTATGTATAAAACTGTTGTTAAGGTTGGAATAACATAAATATGGATATGAGAAACAAATTTTTGAGTGAATTCACTGAACAGTCAAAAGACAATGTGAAATGTTATTCAAAAGAAGATTCTGCTTTAAAACATCACCCAGCTTAGTCACTGCTAAAAATATACTAAAACAACTGAAAAAAACTCCTAAACTTTTGGGAGGAATTATGGGGCTAAAAGTACTAGTTTTGCCATTGTGTGAACAGGAGAGGACCAAGGCTGGAACTTCTTATCCTTTCCTATGCCTCTGTTTCGACAAAGCCTTTTGACAACTTTGCTGATCTGTTCCCATTTTTTTAACCTCTCAGCACTACTGTATTTGTACCTCAGAGTTCCTTCCTGCTCTTGGTGTTCATCTATCCATCCATCTTTCCGTTCAGTAATCTTTTATGAGCACCCTGCTAAGGTTTGCATATGTTCCCCAAAGTTCATGTATTGGAAACATAATGCCCAATGCAATAGCACTGACAGGTGGGGGCAGGCCAGTGTCTTAGGTGATGGGGCCCAGCCCTGTAACCCAGATTCTTTCCCTTACTCTGGCTGTTGCTTTGGTTCAGCCACAGCTTCCAGTCAGTCCCATTGTTCCCATGCAAGCCTGCCCCACTTACGTCTTGCCCATGCCTTCTACTACCAGGAAACTTGCACCCCTTTTAACCCTAGGGTAGGGGCAGATGGGGTGGTGATGGTCAAGTGGAAGGGGTATGAAGCTGTGTTCACCCCAGCATTCACAGAACAAAGCCACGGATTCTGTTACACTCCTCTAGTTTTGTTAATTCTCCATCCTCCGTTCTACCCAGGTGTTAGGGCTGCACAGGACCCGGGAAGGGGTCAGCAGTGGGGCTGATGTCCCTGATGGAGCCAGCACTCAGCATGCGAGCAAGGCCACAGAAACTCTGCCCCCACCGCATCTTACCTCACAGGGTGGTTTTTAGGGATTTTTGCGGGCAGCAGATTAAAATCTTGCCACAGTCGAGAAATTGACAAAAAGCTTCCGTGCTGTACATGGTTCTCTTTCTCTCTGTTTTTATTTTTGTTTTTTGTGTTTTTTTTTTTGGTACCGAGGATCAAACTCGTGTCCTTGCGCTTGTGCAGCAGGCAGGGAAACCACTGAGCTAAATCCCCGGCCCCTCTCTCTTTTTATTTTTTAAAAAAGAAAAACCCAGAAAGATGCATCTGATTTGTGTACATGAGGGTGTGCCAGAGGGTGGCCAGTTTTGCTTTATGAGCTTATGAAGGAAAATTTGTGACCCTACACACACACACATATCCCGAACCAGCAACAGAACTTTGTTTATACTGCAAACAAATATTATTTTTTCTTTAAAAAAAAGGCTCCACCCTCATGAGTTGATTAATGCCATTATCACAGGAGTGAGTCTGTCACTGGGTTCCTGAGAAACTATGATTTGGACCCCCATTCCCCTCTTATACTTTCCACCATGAGAAGACACAATGAAAAATTTCTGACCACAAGTAGACCTTTGACTACTCGGCCTCCAGAACTGTAAGCTATAAACTTTTACTCTTTATAAATCACGCAGTTTCAAATATTCTGCTATAGCTGCATAAAATGGATGAAGATGACTACTTATAGGAAGTTAATTAAATTATGGAAGAATTGATACAATTGGAAATGTTTTTGATCAGCATTACTTAATAATTCAGAGGCGGGCAACCCATTTGGGACCCTATCTCAGGAGCTACTCTTATTCCCCATTCCTATTCCCCAATAAACTTTTCTACTCTTTCTTTTTCAGATGATGTTATATTTTATTTTATGAATGCCAAATATTTTATAATATTGATTTACTAAGTTTTATGTATTGTATAAAATAAATACCATCTTTACATACACTGGAATTTGTAACAGAAATCATGAAAGAATATTGACGGAAATATACCCAGTAGGAAACTTATTTTTATTATCCAATCCTTTGATAAATGCCTCCAGTGTTATAGACAAATTTGATTTTCTTTGAAATGTGCTGTCTGCTGCTTTTCTGTTTCTGTTACAGAAGCTATAAACAGTTGTTTCAGGATGTCCTTATCTGAATTCCTGCCAATAAGGACCAATGGACTTGTTCTCTCAGTGTCATCTTTCCAGCTCACTGGAGTCTCTTCCAGGTCGTAGAGTTTATGGACACCTTGGACAGTCATTTGTTGTGGTTTGTCTCTGAGTGACACCAGCCCCTTTAGCCATATGGCCTCCATGCAGTGATCGTCCTTGTTTCTCACATTCTTTTCCCCCAGGAGATTCTGAATCAATACATTTAGACTTTCTTCCTTTACATTTCCTGGTACTTCAAATGTGATTGTAACAATAGTCTGCTCTCCTCACTTTCAAACATTTGGAGTAGACTTTCCCTTCTTTCTGATCAAGGTGAGGTTGTACTGTTGGCACATACTGAAGTTTTTTCTGAAAACTTATTCCAGAGAGACTATCAAAGGCATGAAGATCTAATATGTTAGAGAGATCAACTTTGGATCTTTGTGTTTCTAAAATTTGTCCTAGTCCATTTATTGATCTAATGGCTGTTCTTAATTTGTTTAACTCCTCTTCTGAAATCAAGTCTGTTTTATTGATGAGGATATCTGCTAAAGCAACTTGCCTAGTAGCTTCATTGGTAAGGCCATCAGGTTTCTCTTCTGCTAAATGTTTTAATCCATATTTTGAATCTACCACTGTTATGATACCATCAAGATAAATATCACTCCCTAGTTCAGCATCAACCCAAAATATAGAAGCCACAGCACTGGGATCTGCTAATCCAGTGGTCTCTAACAGTATGCAATCAAATTTCCCCTTCTTCTGCATCAAATTCTCAAGAGCCCTGAGGCCACTGTCCTTCACTGAACAGCAGAGGCAACCATTTCCAAGTTTCAGCCACTCTTCATAGAGCTCTCCACCTTGACTTACAGCTAAGGATTTCTCTACTGCACTTTCTTCACCAAATTCATTTAAAATAACTGCTATTCTTCTACTATGTTGCTCCGTTAAAATGTAGTTCAGTAGTGTTGTCTTTCTAGTGCCAAGCCTGGCCCGTGGTTTGACGTCATCACATCGTGACGCGTGGCTCCTCCTGATCTGGCCCCTTTACCTGGGCTCCTGCTGAAGACAGACCGGCTCCTTAGCCACGCCCGTAGGGGAATCTGGGCGGGCTCCCGGGCTCCAAACTTTTCTACTCTCAAAAAATAAGAATAATAATTCAGACACAGTGAAAATTCCAGGGGAAAAGAAAATCAATTTTTTTTTTTTGGTACTGGGGATTGAACTGAGGACCTTGCACTTGCCAGGCAGGCGCAGCGCCACTGAACTACATCCCCGGCAAGAGAATCAATTTTATGATTTTCACCAATTTTAAGGGTTTGGGTCTTGCCATCACTCATTCTTGCTTATTATTTCTATGAATTGATCACTGAGTTAGATACTGGGAGAGTGGTAGGAGAAAGAAGTCATCAATAAGCAGATTGCAAGTGGGAACTAACCAACTGGTATCAGGATGGGAGTTTTAGGGAGGAAGATGATAGGCTAGGAAAAAAAGGGATAAGCAAAGTTGTGAGGGGATGAGGTTCTCCATTATCATTTCCTATGCCTAGAATCTGCTGGTAGCTGCTCTTTCAAATTAACAGGGTGTTCTATTGTTCGGTAACTAGTGGGAACCCTGTAATGATTTATATCTAGACATCCCCAAGAGCCTCCTGCACTCATAGACGGGGCTTTTGGATGGTGATTGCATTATGGGGGCTCATAGGTGAGTGGCTATTAGGATGTGGGGTCTGGTCAGAAGAGGTGGGTCTTGGGGACATGGCCTGGACAAGTTTTCTTTCTCTTGGCTCCTCCCATGATTGCTGTTGCTGTTTCCCACTACCATGCTGTGAGCTGCTTCTCCTCCACCATTCCCCTCTGCCACGCTATCCTGCCTTGGAGCCTGCCAACTATGGACTGAAACCTCTACAAACTGAGAGCTAAAATAAACCTCCTTTAATTTGCAGGTGTTAGGTGTTCTGTCACATTAATGAGAAAAGTGACTAAGACAGTGCCCTTTGCTCCCCACTCCAATTCTGTACTGGAGGATCATGACTGGCTCTGTCTTCAAGCTCTGGATTCAACTTCCTGACTTCTCTCATGAACATGGTGCCTCCTCTACTCTGTTACTGGAGTCTTATTTTTAAGGCCAATCCTCCCATTTGACGTGCCAACTAGTGAGGATACATAAAAGGGGACATTTACCCTGGAGGAAATGCAGCAACCCTATTAGCTCTAACGGAACTGACAGACAGGCAAGACTTTTACATCACACCATGTAAGTGGCTGCTTATTAGTGGTCTTGATATGAACTACCAAAATACTTCCAATTCAGAAGCAACCAGTAAATGGTTTTCTCCAAGTTGCTCTATGGTAAATGGCAGGAAAAGTACATGAAACTTCAACTACAATTATCTTTCTCTGGGGTAGGGGCAGTGAATTAAGATATATTCACAGAAGAATAGATTGCAAAACAAAAACTCCTTAAAAAACTTTGCAACTCTGTCCATCAGAAGTTGAAATCTATTTCCCATCCATGCATCTGGTCTGGCCTTGGAAATGTGGTAGAAATGAAATCAAGTGAGTTCCAAACCTAGGCATCAAGATGGGAAGGCATCAGTGTTCTGGGCCACTGTAACCCCGCCCCCCCACCCCCAGTGCAGAGGAGGTGAGCCACTCCCAGGACCCAGGAAGAGGGTTCCGGGCTACTGTAC